CATCTCTTCGAAATGGGATTCTGTGACCGGCAGCTGAATCTCAGGCTGCTGAAGAAACACAATTACAACATCCTGCAGGTTGTGACAGAGTTGCTACAGGTCAACAACAACGACTGGCACAGCCAACGCTACTGAGGAGGGGCCTCGTATTAAATCACTCTGCCTGCTTCTCATGGGTGATCTTTATTCTGTCCTTGGGCGTAGGGGAGGAAGCCCTGGCTTATTTTTTAATCTGATGAATCTATATAGAGCCCATTATTGAATTCTCAAGACAGTACCTGCATTACAGTATTTTTTGGAGCAAATCAAAGACCAGAACTGAAGCAGAGACATCGGATGGTTGAACTGTAGGAAAATGGTTTTTCAGTTGATTTGGATAAAGCTCCTGTCTCCATTTTAGTGCAATGAAGAGCATAACTTGAACTTCCTATAGAACCGTTTTTCTTTCTGCTTGTATCAAAGTTGAGTATTTTTCTTTGGATGTTGTGGATGTTTCTATGGGGATACCTGTTGTCAGTTTTTAAAAGAAATTAACCTTGGAGGTTGTTTTCAAGAATTCTTACAATTTTTCTAGCCTACCCCAAGCCTCATAGCTATGTTGTATTGAAATGACACCCAGAGCCCCAGAGAAATCTTGTTACTCTTCCTTGTTCAAAGACAAAGTCATTTCCCTGCGAGACTCAGTAATCAGCACTGTTGTTTTCTAAAGACCCCACTGGTACATTCAAGAAGATCACCTTCTGGGTCTCCACACTTCAGTGAAAGGAGGGCGTGTGCTCATTAACCCACCAGCACCTATTGAGCAGTGTTTACTGTAGTAATTTTGCATACATTTTTCTTTATTTAAGGGAACAAATTTAAGTAGATAGTGTGAAATATTTTGCTAATACTGTAGAGATGGAGAAAACGTCTATTAAAAAGAAAAGAAATGTAACAGTTACCTTTTTTTCTTAACGTCAGGGCAGAGGTTACTGGCAGATGTTAAGAGTCAAAAGGTGAAAAGTGAAAGGCAGGCTCCTAGTTAATCTAGTAAAGTTAGTTCAGGGGCGGGCAAATAGGAAATGCTGATGCCTTCTTGAATGTTTGAAATCTGCTCAAAGGTACCTAGCCTTAGAGAGCCTAGAACAGGAAGAGGCTGTTTTGCAAAACTTGGATGGGGACAAACTCTGAAAAAGTTTTGAGTTAACCCCAAAATGAATGAGAAAGCTTGCTGCCAGGGGCCCAGGTCCTCATTCTGTTTACAGAAAGGAGTCTTGGGTACAATGGGTGAAGGAAAAGGTAACAAAAAAAAACACTAAAAGCTATTATTCATGAAAATGACTTCCAGAAAAAGAAGACTTTTGCCCTCATCCAGAAGGGGGAAGGATAGTAAACTAGTATTATTTAACCTGGTTGGTATTTATAATGAATGGTGATGTTAATTAATCATTAGTCATCATCATGTTTATTTACAGTATACTTCCTGACCGCTACTAAATAAACCAAGATTCAGACTGCAAAAAAAAAAAAAGGGGGGGGGGCTTTTGGGAATAAATACTGTGAAAGTATAAGTTTAAAATAAATGAGTTAGAAGATAAAATTATGGTATTTTATCCCCAAAACCATAGGCCAAAAAAGTAGATATGTAAAACAGTAGAAAGAATAAAATTAGAAGATCAAGTGGAGGTACAATGTTTGATTAACAGAAGTTCCGAAGATTGAGAAGAAAATTTAAAAATCCAAGAAACAAAAAATTTTCAGGATTGAAGAGTGTCCACATTATGAGGTTACACTGAGTGAGGAACACTGTATGAAAAAAAATATCGACTCCATGGCACATGACTGTGAAATTTCAGAACACCCAGGAACAAAGAGAAAAACATAAAAGTTTCCAGCGAGACTGACAGAAACAAGCAAGTCACATACAAAGAATTAGGAATCAAAATGGCATGAATTTCTTACTAGAAGGTATTACACAATGGAGCACTGGGGGCCTTTAAAAATATGAGGAAAAGTTATTTCCAATGTAGAATTTTACACCCTCCCAAAATATGCATCAAGAGGGCTGGTAGAATAAAGCATGTTTTATAGATACAAATCTCAGAAGTTTAATTCCCATGTACCCTGTCCTAAAATCAGAAGTTAAAAGAAAAAGAAACAAAATCCGGACAATAGGAAGTTCAACACAAAGCAAAGGAGATCCCAGAATTGCAACCATGCCATCTTAGAGAACTAGTCCACACTGGAGCAAGAGAACAAAGAGCTCTCTAAAGATAACTCTAAAAGATGACACTGAAAAGCTGATTAATAGGTTTAATCATATTTGTTACCAAAAGATCCATCACAGCTGCTAACTCAGTAAACAAATGGGTAAGCCCTGGTACACTGCCATGGCGAATTATTCCATCCCAGAGAATTCGGAGGGGACTGGACAAATTGAAAGCATAGCTCCTGGCTGGGTTTGCCAACACTGCTGGAGAACAGTCAGATAAACTCATCACAAGAGTTTATCTGAGAAGCCAGTAACTCAAGAGTTATGGGTTTCGAAAAGAGAAGGGAGAAATTTATTGTGGGTACTGGCAGCCAGGGGAGGTGGTAAGCTCAAGACTTAACAACCGACCTCTCTGCCCCCAACATGGACACTTAACAATTTTATAAGGAGAGGTTAGTGGGGGGATACATGCAAGAGAGCAGGCAGACAGCCTGTGATCGTGGGTGAAGGTTGGTATGTGTTCAGCCCATGATCACAGGCAGAAGAAGAGGACCTGTGGGTATGGTCTTCTAGGCATCACGTTGCTATCAGGGCTTTTCCGACGTGGTGTTTGGGATGTTCTGGGTCCTTGAAAAAGAACTTCATCATGCTTCAAGAAAGTACGCTAAGAAATAAGCACAATTTTAGTTAACAGCATGAGTTAAGCAGTCTTGTCTATTTCTGGTTTTAACTGTTGGGGTCTACAGTTGAGCAAGAGGGCTCACTAACATAATGAAAGGTATATTCTTTTGGCAAAAAGTTTGGTGATTAATAAATGATAGGTATGAGGAAAATAATAGAAACAAAGCAAAGAGGGAGAGAAAAAAAAGTAGTCACACTCCTATTGATTAAGATTACAGGTGTAACCGGGGCGCCTGGGTGGCTCAGTCGTTAAGCGTCTGCCTTCGGCTCAGGTCATGATCCCGGGGTCCTGGGATCGAGCCCCGCATCGGGCTCCCTGCTCTGCGGGAAGCCTGCTTCTCCCTCTCCCACTCCCCCTGCTTGTGTTCCCTCTCTCGCTGTGTCTGTCTCTGTCAAACAAATAAATAAAAAAAATCTTTAAAAAAAAAAAAAGATTACAGGTGTACCCACTTAGCAGTGGCTTAAACTAGAAGACGATTTCTCATGTAAAAGAACTCCAGAGATGGGCGGTCCAGGACTCTTAGCTTGCTGTTCCATGGTGTCAGAACCTAGGCCTCTTCTCTCCTGTTGTCCCGTCTCCAGCATGTGGCCTCTACCTCATAATTCAAGAAGTCAAGCCATTACACCCATATTCCAGCATGAAGAAATAAGAAAGAAACAAAGGAGAGAACTGCTCCTCCTACACCGCTTTAGATTCACTTATAGTAGGTTATAAATGCACTAACACATTACACTGGCCAGGACTTAGTCACACAGCTGCACCTAGATGTTTAATTTTTTAAAAAGAGAGCAGCAGGGAGAATGGATAATGGGAAAGAGCTAATAGTCTCTGCTCTCTCCCTCCAGTACTTCCCACTGTTCATATCCTACACTGTTTTTTTCTCAGAGTATTTATTAATCGCTGATGTATTTTTCTCTTTATTGCTTAATATTTCCCCGAACCAGTAAGTTCCAAGAAGACAGGGACTATGTCTTTTGCTCACCACTGTACCCGTTTCTGGAAAAGTACCTGAGGCATAGAAGGAATTTAATAGTTAGGGGCCGAATGAGTGAATGAATTGTTAATTCCAGGGAGGGGGCAAAGTCTAAGAAAATAAATTGAAACATAAAGATCCAGTCCAGGCACAGATCCAGTCCAGGCATATCATTCAAAACGATGCCCATCACCCAGAAAAATTTAATCACCCCCTTTGGAATTATAATTTTAAAAAGCCTCCCTCTGAACAGACAATTCAAGTCTTTGAAGAAGGCACAACCAATGCAACCACTGGTGATATCCCTGTAATATTTCCCTATTCTTGATAGTATAAGCAGTATTATTTCAATGTATGCAATAATGTAACTATTGTGTAATTGTGAGTCTGATTATGCATTGTGTAATTGTGTTCTCTGTAATGTAATTAGTAATAAAAATGTAAACATTAATATACTGTAAATTAATAATGTGACAATTTTTAATGTACCCATATTCAGATGGGGAAGGGAAGGTTATTTTGAGGGAGTGGTATGTAAGAGACCTAAATCCTCATTTTCCAAGCAACAGATACTATCTATACCTGAAAATACTAAGACACAAGGAAAAGCCTGTAATTTTAGAGGAGAAGAAAGCATTAGAAGAAACAAGTGGAAAATAGTTATTGATGTTGAAAATAGTTATTCTGAGGACCAATAATCAGGGATACGGAGAACAAGATCCGAGGTCTGCTGGTATGCTTTTTTAAGGCTTACAAAACTATTTGACTTTTTAATATTTAATTCAATGCCCCCATTCCAATGAGCTCCTGAAAAATACAACTTCAATCATTATTAGAAGCCTTCGGAGGGGGCGCCTGGGTGGCTCAGTCGTTAAGCGTCTGCCTTCGGCTCAGGTCATGATCCCAGGGTCCTGGGATCGAGCCCCGCATCGGGCTCCCTGCTCAGCGGGAAGCCTGCTTCTCCCTCTCCCACTCCCCCTGCTTGTGTTCCTGCTCTCGCTATGTCTCTCTCTGTTAAATAAATAAAATCTTTAAAAAAAAAAAAAAAAAAAGAAGCCTTCGGAGGTCATGCTGGGGTGGCGATTAGGGAAAGAGGATGCACTTCATGAGGAAAAGTGAAGGCTCCAGGTCTTTACATAAATCACCCCGACTAAAGATCAACCAGGGCAAAAACCTCCACGATTTTAAATGCACAGCATTACGCGTGCACGCATCATACTCCCTTCTCAAAGGACAAACACGCATTCTGCACACGAACTCAAGAATTGTTGCGCAACTGCGCATGGAGACGAGGTGATGGGCTCAGAAAGGTGGAACAGGAACGATCCCCGCCTTCAGTCAATCCTAATGTCCCCTCTGACGTTGGGTAAGAATGTCTGAGGAAACAGAGTACCAAAGGCCACCTGCCGCGCAAACGCGCCGGGCGCTGGGCCCGGGAAGGACGCGAGCAGAGCGGGCGGTGCCGCCACGCCTCCCGGCACCAGAGGCGGAGCTCACGCCGCCGAGTCCTGTTGCAGCCTGCGTCCGCCAGGAGTCCAGTCGCTGCTCTTTTCCAGGCGGGTAAGCAGGAGGAATCTAAGAAAGGGTACCGGCTGGCTGTCCTTCCCAGCGCTCGAAGCCCCGCCATGCTCGTCCTCCGAAGCGGCCTGACTAGGGCTCTGGCTGCGCGGAAGCTCGCGCCTCAGGTACCGGCCGCGGCGACGCGCCCAAGCCGAGCCCTGGTTTGGGAGGAGGAAGGGTGACCCCGAGGAGCTAGTAGTCCCGCGCATGCGCTACTCGGCTCGCTCGCCCAGACTTGCGAGTGCCGCGCATGCGCTCAGCCGGTTCGCGCGCCGAGATTATTCTGTTTCCAGTGCGCGTCCCAGACCCCCGAGCTGGGGCGTTGTGCGTGGAGGGGTGTAGCCAGTCGGGAGGGTGCGCTGGCCAGTGTCTCCTCCCGGCCAGCTCGCCAGCAGCCGTGAACAAGACTTCTGTGGCCTAAGGTGCCAGGCGGCCCTGAGGACACTCCTGGAGCTCGCGCTGCCCGGTATTTGCTTCCCAGCCCCGCTGCGTTCGCCAGGTTGGGCCGGTGTCAGGTGTTGTTGGCTGGTCGAGCCTTTCCTTTTGATTTGTCCTTTTGACAAGCCACCGCCCCTTCCAGACAGAAGGTAGAGGAGAAATAGGTCAACCAGCTGCTGGCGAAAGAACAGGCCTCCCCCGTTTAAACAAAATGTACACAACTTCTGAGCGTTTTGCAGAGAACCTTGAAGAGGAGGGCCAGGGTGCCAGTGGTGGAGCATCCTGCCCAGCTGCCCACTGCCTCGTGCGGGTGGTGGCCGAGCCAGGCAGGGCCAGGAACCTCGTAGCAAACAGAATGATAACCTCACTTAACCTTAGATGAGAAAAGCACACAACAGATTTTTGTGATTCATCCTGAGCTGTCGGGACTTGGCCTATTCTGTGAATCTACAGATTTTTTCCTTTGATACTGAGGCTTGTACTTCTTTTCTGGAAGGGTACAAGCGGAAGGGGATGAAACTACTCTACAGACTGACTTTCTGCTGAAAACTGAGGAACCAATGATGGCCCATTAACCCAAGATTAGCAATCCAGTCTGATCTTTCCTGATTCTCACTCTACTGGGGCAGGGCCAAGAGTTATTCCTTACAACTTTACTCTGAACTTTGATTTTTAAATATCAGCCAGTTGTTCTCACAAGTGAATTGAAAGTATTTTGAAATACTTCACTTTATGGAAAATGAGCCCGTATTTGGAGATAAGGGAGCCTAGAACACTCATGAATCCTACCGCAGTTGTAGTTTGTGCCCTTAACAAAAATCACCTCTCCCTAAGCACACTCACTTATCTCACTGCTGTTACCCTTTCTGTGGGCTTTTCCCTCTTACTGTTTTTTCTTTGAAAGATAATAAAAATACGTGCCTTTGACCACGTGTTTGTTTCCTAATACAAATTCCCTGAAAAACGACTTAAAAGCAATTGTTATAAATACCACACTGTCCCATTTTCTGATATATTTTATTTATAATACTTTTTAAACTATAATACTAGGCAGTTGTTTATTTGGATAACATTCTCTTATTAAAATTTGGTTAAAATGACACAAAAAGCATGTCCAGCAAAAATAGAAGTATCTGCAATAGTTTTTGGAGGGAATACTTGCTTTTCAAGTAAGTTTAGACACTTGGGCAGTAGGAACTTAACTCAGGGGACATGAATGGAATGAACTCAAATATATAATTATGATACTATACACAGATGAAATACATAGACAGTTGTGTGTTTTAACCTAAATTATGTCAGATAAAGAAGTCTACTGGTTTCATTTGATGTACCAGGTAGTCAAATAAGCCCAAAATTTGTCCACAGCTTTGTACCAAAGCTTTTGATAGTTTTGATTAATAAGCTCCATGAAACTAAAAAAAAATAATAATAATAAGCTTCATGAAACTGGCACATGATAACCAAACCTACAGTAAGAAGAATTTGTAAGTGAAAATGCCATAGGATTGTGTGGGTGTGAATGTATACTCATGCACATGTATATATACACAGAGGATAATCTCTGGCAGGGCATTTCCTATCTAAAGTTAAGTTTATTCAGACTTGGAGGACTAAATTAGAAGAAAACTTTATATAAGTAGCATACAACTAATACAACAAGAACTAACAGTTCTTAAGGGATATTTTCGTCAATCTGGCAAAATTGGATGGATTAAATGCCCTTCTTCACATTGCATCTGTAATTAAACCTAATAATGATTCAGACAATTCTAACTTGTTGATTTTCCCTTTATAGCATTCATACAGTCCACCACCATGTTATAATGCAGTTGGATAGATTTTAACACTCCATTCCTATCTTTTACCAGGGATCTACTTCATTGGATTTGGGAAATACTTTGACCTGAATAGCAATTTTTATTTTTAAGAAAAACCTAAAAGGGAGTTTTTTGCAAGTAAACACATTTCCATTTTGCTTGCCAAAACACCTGCATATTTTATAAGGTTCACTTAAATGCATAACTAACATATATAGTATTGACTAAAAATGGAATATTAGCTAAATAAGGGAAGACATCTGCAAATTTATTAGAATCCTAATTGTAGTTCTTGGGTAAAGGACTCTTATTAAGACCCCAGTGCCTTCTTATGATTAAATTTCATGAAAAAAAGGCTATTAGTGGATCCCTGCTAAGAAACAGTAACTATATATTCAGCATACTTAAGACTACTTACCTTTATTGACGTTTCTCCAAACAAATGTCTAAAGAGAGATCACAAAAGAAGTACAAACATGGATTATGAGTCTAATGCGTGCCCTTTGTTTCTAGATTCAGATTTGGTTGTAACAGTATTATAAACCCTACCTTCCCAAAATATTTAAATTTGCCTTATCTTTCTTCAGGTGTGCTCATCTTTTGCTACGGGCCCCAGACAATACGATGGAACATTCTATGAATTTCGTACCTATTGCCTTAAGCCCTCAAAGATGAATGAGTTTCTGGAAAATGTTAAGAAAAACATACATCTTCGGACAGTTCACTCTGAATTGGTTGGATACTGGAGTGTAGAATTTGGAGGCCAAATGAATAAAGTGTTTCATATTTGGAAGTATGGTATGATTTTTCCAGCTTCAGGGTTCAGTATAGATTTTCATTCTGTTAAATGTTACTTGACACTTAGCTCTCGGATCTAGATTAGTATAAATACCCATAGGTTAAAATAAACTTTTAAAAAGGGGAACAACAACAAAAAACGAATTCAGTGATTTCTCCTCCCAGTGGCACACCTTTAACAACCCTTTGCTCAAATCCTCATGTTACCATAAATGAAAAAGTGTGGTATCTCATATTTCAAATCATAAAATTGTGAGCTAGGCTTCAATGCTCAGAAAAATTTTACAATGGTTTGTCATAAAGACGATTTATGAAAAAAATTAAAGCAGTGATTGCAAGAGCCCAAATAGGTTAAGATCATAAAGGAAGGGAGAGTTATTTTTTTATTATTGTTGAAGCTATGGCTGGATATCAGGATTTTAGTAGAAGCAATTCAGATATGTAGGGGCTTTAGAGTAGTAGAGGTTGATGGGGATGATAGTTAACTTCTTGGCCTCACCCAATGCTAAGATTTAATAATTTGTTATGTTGAGAAAATCATTTTTGTGTTATTTGTGCATTCCAAGGTTCCAGGGAATTTACTGTTTTACGGAAGTAAAGACAATCAGAGTTCTCCCCATATTGAAGTTGATTTACCCCTGGTTTAATATTCAAAGAACAGGTTGCACGAATCCCCAGGATGTTTGTTACTCCAATGTCTAATCTTTGTGAAGTCCACATCAGGACTTGATGAAATCCAGAGAATTTCAATACCTTTATTTAGTGTTTGATCATCAGTGTCCAAAGTTAATAGTCATGAAGTATTTTAATATGAAAAGTGTTCATTCCATATTTAAAATGGCCCTAATTTAGGGGTTTTCCCTATTGTAATAGAATAAACCCCATTAAAACACAGTTTATGCTTTAATGTGCCACCAGCGGACTCAGGTCCCTTTAAAAAATCACTAGTAAAGTCTTAATATAACTCACTTAAGCTCTGAGATCCCCAATGTAAACCATAGAAAACTCTTTTACCATCAGTCTTAATGAGACCCTCATAGTAAATATAGTACTAGGCCTAAATGTTTAGTAAATGTTTAAATATCAAACATAAGAGAAATAAATACTGGGTAAAAAGAATGGTGATAATAAGAAAATCAGCACTCCTTCTTTGGAAGCTGTTCAAAGAAGAGGCTTAAAAAGCACATCTTCTTTTCATTTATGTTAAATTTAATTCAGAGTATACCTTGACCTGACCACTCACCACCAC